TCGCAGAGCCGGGGCAGTTCCCGCCTACAGAGACGGGGTAGAAATGGTCCAAACTAATTCTACCCGATGTGTCCCCTTTCTAGAAAGGCAATTTAAATAGCAGAAGGAGCCACCACAGGGAATTCTGTGCAAGTCAACTCCATTAATGAATGTGTGTGGGGTAAGGTGAGGAGGACATTCCCCAGGCCCTGTAGTGCACATATGAATGGCCCTATAGGGGTTAAAACCTAGGCATGTTGCACTAGCACATAAAACAAACAAATGAAATAAAACAAGACAGAAAAGACACAACCAAGAGAGATAGGAACCATCAGTAGGTCCCAAAGTAAAAACAAATTACTAGCAAGCAGCCAGTTTCTCTGTAAGCCAAAGGGCAGGGCTGCCCAATTGGTCTTTCCTTCCTCAAGCTTAATTAGATACGCAAAGAACGAGGGAAGACCCCTGAGCAGAAACCACGAGAACGTTTGCTGAGAGGATGTATCATTCCATTTAACCCTCATTAGCAGGTATATGAATAATTCTTTCAGTTCTATTTTGCTGCTGAGACAACTGGAATTTAGTGAGTCAAAGTTGCCCGAGTTCAGGCAGCTTCGAATGGACAGCATCTAGAAGTCTGATAACCAGGTACCTTCAACTTGTTCCTTCTTGACCATGCCTGCACGTGGGAATCACGCGGCTTCTTTTGAAAAGTATCAATGCCTGGGCTCCACCCCCAGAAGAATCGGACACGAATGTCCTGGGTGCAGCCCCAGCAGAAGTGGTTTGGAAAGCATCCCTGGAGATGCTCGCAGACGCCCGGTGTAGGTCCACTGACGTCTGTGCTGTGGAGGAAACTGCTGTGCAGTGACCACCTTTTGGGAGTCGTTAGTGATGTAAGAAAAAATGGAGGGAAAAAAATCTCAGAATTTGGGAGCTGTCATCCAAGAGTCAGTCTTACCTCCTGTTGACAAGGCTTTCCAAATTTGCACAGTGTTTTCACAGAGCTTGTTTTAGTTGATTCCCAGCATCCTCCCCCCTGGTCCACATCTTGGTGATGAAAAACTGAGGCTCAGAGAGGCCGAGGAATCTGTCAAGTCCACATGGGGGTGATTCTGGTGCTTAACCCAAGTCTCATTTCAAGTCCAGTGTACCACAGAGGCCCTGGCAGGAACCTAGCTCTCCGATGCCTGGCTACACACATTTCCCATTCCCCTGGAACTTCGACCTTGAATTCGCATCCCTGGGGGCAAGGAAACAAGGAGGGATACACGAATTACAGTAAAGGTATTTTGAAACCAGGTGACTAGACTTTCTCTCGGTAGTTGTCGGAGGGGGAGTCACTGCCAAAGGCAGTGAAGGGGACCACAGCGCGTGGATTCGGAGAAACACGGACGCGAGGCTCTCGCCAGACAGGAACATGAGTGAAAAAGAAAAGCAGCAAAAATGAAGACCTCGAAATGAGTCTGCACAGGGAGTCCACTCACTTTTGTGATAAGGACGGAGGAGGCTCTGAAGCCCTCTGTTTGACATGCAAAGAGCTGACCAGGCAGACGGTATCTCATGGGAAAACACGGGCAGCCTGGGAACGCGACTTGGTCCAGGGGCTTGTCAGCTTCAGCTGAAAGAGAGCTGGGCGATCTTATCACTCGCCGGCCTCCCATCCTGAGAGCTCCAGATAAGGCCGAGCTGAGACATCAGCTTCCTCAGCACCCTTCGCGCCTCAACCCGCTGCAGGAAGCCGCAGGCACTGCTTGTGCCAGAACCAGACCAAGGCAGACGCCAGAAAATGCTCTGTGCTCAGACTGCAGGATGTTTGATGTGTGAATCCAGCTCCGTCACACAGAGACCGAGGGCAACTTCTTACACTGTCCAAGCCTCATTGTTTCGATCTATGAAATGGGTATATGTATCCTCAGGGCGGGCTAACGGGGCACATGCCCTATGTAACTGCCCAGAACCCTGCACCTGAGAGGGCCCCATGCTTGGCTTTATGCGCTGCTAGATGCCTTGAAATTCTTGACACTTTTGGAACGAGGGGCCCACATGTCCATTTAGCGATTGTGCAGCTGGTCTCACAGAGTTGTGGGAAAGACTCGCAAGCAGTAAGGTGTCTCGGGTGCCACCCGGGGCTGGCACCTGCACGGTGCTCAGGGGGGCTGGCCGTGGTGATCATTATTTTCCCACTGCTGAAGGGATTGGTATGTTATTGGGCCTCTGGATGCTCTGTCACACGCAAGCTGGGTGGACAGGGTCACACCAGAGACTCGGCTAAATGACCAAGAGGGGCCACTTGTCTACCAGATTGTTTGCACGTGCTCCCTCAAGTCGGTCATTTGTTCACATGAGCCAGTGGTTCTCCCTCCTCTACATGGTGCTGCAGAGGTGGACGTGGGTGCCCCCCTCCAATAGCACTGCCAGGCAGCACGGCCATGAGGCCACCAGGTGAGCGGCCCAACAACCCAAGACGGAGTCCACTGCCACATCGGCAACGTCAGGGAGAGGCAGCTAAGATGGGCCGGGAGGTTACAAAAGGGAGGTTGATAAAGGGAGATGGTGCGCTTCTCTCTGGGCTGTTTCAGGAGAAGACGGCTTGTAGGGTTTTTGAGTGTGCAAGCCGTTTGCCTAGGACTGGGTCCAAGCAGATCAAATAGAAAACTTTGCGCCATCCTGGCCCTGATCAAGATGCTAAGATGAAAAGGTCAACTCAGGGACCTATTCTTGAGCCTAATCTGGGCCTGGCCATGTCACCAGAGCAACTCAGCCTCCACCTGTCCTGGTTTGGGGTGGGGCGGGGCTCAGTTTGAGCTGGTGCATGGCCTCTGTCCCAGAGCACTGCCGTCACTTGCAGCTGCATCCTTTCAGTGCTGCTGAAATAGACGTCCGCATGAGGGGACCGTCCACCTGTGCCGTGCGGAAGCACTGCGTCCCGGAAAGGGTAGGGCATGGATCTCTCCCTTCGGGGGCCGCAGGACCTCGACTTGGGGGAACCCAGCACCAGGTGTGGTGGGAAGCCTGTTGGGAGGCGTGTGGATGCAGAGGAAGCATCACCTGGGGCCAAGGACAAAGCCAAGCCAGGACTGAGCAAAGATCCACACCAACCAAGGTCACAGCAGCAGCTAGCGATGATGGAGCCTTACAACATGCCAGGCACTGTGTAAGAACGTGACGCTTATTACTGCCCCGTTAACTCGGGCAGCAATTAGCATTATCATCGCCCTTTTCCCGGTAAGGAAACCAGAGCTTGGAGAGTAACCTGACTTATTCTACATCATGCAAACAGTCAGGGTCAGAGCTGGGATTTGAACCCAGTCCATCTGACTCCTAAACCCAAACTCCACTTCTCTCCCTGCCCCCGGGAGGGCCCCTTCAAAGAGGCTCAGGAGGCCTTGGGCTGACTCCCAGATGACAGGGTTGCCCTTACGATGGAGAAAAGTCCCAGCCCTGCCCTTTCTCAAACACGTTAGCTGCTCTCGTCGGAGGAACCATTGAGGTTCATGCCAACCACACTTCACCCACATTCAGGAGACTAGGAATTCAAAATTCCACTCTCCAACGGTTCCTTCTCCCACCGAACTCTTAGAAAGAAATATCCAAGGGAGAAAGGAAACAAAAAAAGATTCTGTTCAAGACGTTGAAGTAGATGCTTCCAGATGAGAAACACGTGTGTGATTATTCCTCGCCTTTTGTCTCCCCCACCCCCATGCTGAAAACACGCTAACTCCGCACAAGGGTACACACCCACAGAACCCCACGGGAAGCCGGCAGTGCCCTGGGTGGCAGGCCGGCCAGAAGCTGTCCTGGGAGCGTTAAGTCCAGGGAAACTGCACAGCAACACTGGCCCAGCTCCCAGGCTGTGCAAGTAGGGGCGCAGGACTCCGGGCCAAGCGGTTCCAGACTGCACGTGGGTTTGCGAGGAGCCCGCCCCCGGCCGGCTGGGAGCGGTGTGCCAGAGACGGAGAAGAGCGGGACGTTTGCCAATTTTTATATCTTTCCTTTTTTCCCCTCCTTCTGGCACAAACAAGCGATGGAATCTCAAAAATTGGATCATCATTTCTGAATTCCCTGCTTTCAACACGATGCTCAGCTGGGCTTGTTGACTGGCTTAAAAGTCTGATTTCCTGAGCTAACACTTCCTGGCCATTCAGCCGCGGAGGGTGATCAACGGGGAGCCTGCCCTTCTCCCAGCAGCCAATGGGAGCTGAGGCCCCTCCTTGCATTTCCTGCTACTGTACATTTAAAAGCATCAACATGGGCACCAAACGTGCCCATGACAAACATGCTCCAAAGGCTGCCATTTCCTGGGAGGCCAATGGAAGGGGGACAGGTGGACCCCTGGGGACATTCTGGCATCCTGATCTCTTGTGGTGATGGCTTTTCCCATCGGCTTCGGTGCCCCAAGAGCACGGCTGGCCATGCCAGGGCCGGACTGTGAGGAGGCATCACTCAGCGTTCCCGAGAGCTTTCAGGACCCAGCTGAGCACTACACGCCACCAGTGGGTTTTGTCACCATCTGCGTTTCCCTCTAGCACCAGATCTGAACTCACCTGCGGCTGGAAGCAAGTGTTGAGACCTTTCACGTGCTTTTCTACAGTTCTATCATCAAGCCTCCAAATAACACTTTCCATCCCTGAGATCCAGATTTCTAGCAAGTTCCTCTGGTTGGTCAATGGGGGACAAAATGTACTCCTTCTCGACCAGGTGAAAATGTTTTCTACTTCTTTTTGCAGTCACGTGCTGGGGACTGATATAATTGTGTCCCAGCGCAGGCTCCAACTTCAATATTGGCCGCCAATAAACTGTGCGCTGGGTGAACAGGAAACTCATTGTGAGCAGAGTTTCTAAGACTCTCAGCACCCGTGCAGGAGGCATCGGGTTTCAGCGAGACCTTCTGGAGCGTGAACACAAGGACAGACCAGCCACGGGGTCAAGTCTGGGCGTGCTTTCTTTGACCTTGGTTTGTTTTATTTTATTTAGGCAAACTTTCTCGGGGGCGGGGGGCGCAGAGACCGTAAAATCCTTACCTTTTAAAGGAGCCCATTGTTAACAGTTTGTGCATCACAGCTCCCTCGACCTCACCGAAAAAGTCTCCAGTCTGCGAGGAGGAAAAGATGACCCATGAGGAAGTGTAGATAAGTAATGGGCCCCGAACACCACACAAAGAAACATGAACGTCGTCCGGGCCCTAGGGCTGATGGGAGCAAAGGGCAGGTTTCAGGACTGGTACATAAAAGTGGGGAAGGTCTCAAGAGTCACGAGAATTTACGGGATTACAGAGCATACAAATAAGCAAATGGGAATGTTCCCCAATGCGTGGCAGGGGTCAGGGTGGCATTACACAGCACACACTGAGTGCTGGAGTGAAACACATGCATGTGTGCACACACACATGCACGCATGCACACACGCCCCATTACCCTGGATAGAGTAAGCATTAATCTGCACTCAGTCCCTTGTGATTAAAACACTACTTCTTACAGACAGAAACAAGCGGTGAACGGGCTTCCTAAGCATCAATAAAAAGAATTGTTTACAGTTCCTGGATGACCTGTTTAGGGAAATAGAGCAGTTCTCTTTGTGGGCCCAGTAAACTTCCTATGGTTGAGAACCCGTCCTTTCTCCAAATCCCTTTCTGAGGAACACCCTCACTTTGTCCAGAGGCAGCTCACAGCTGGGTGAGCACTAGGACAGTCCGGCACCTTGAGGGGACAGCCTGGCAGTCAGATTGCCAATGGCCCCTACTCGGGGGCTGTCTTCAGGGCCCCTGAGGCCTAGCAGCCCAGCCGCACCACCAGACGGATGCTCGTGCAAGTCTGGTTCTTGGCGCTGGCTGAGATGTGCCAACTCTGCGTGGTGGAGGACAGGGCTGCTGTCCTCAGGCATCCCTCCAGCCTCCTGGGCTCCTCCGCATGTCTGGGGGAGCGGCATGCAGTCCGCAGACCAGCTTCCTGCCAACACCCTGCAACAAGCCGGTGTAGACCAGGAGGGAACCCCTATCTCTGCCGGGGCCGCTCTGAGGATTTATAGCATGTGTGCGCCTGGTGGAGGCACGGCTCTCGGAACCTGAATTAATATGTTCCACAGGCTTGTAGTAACTAAATCCCAGTTTACAACTGAGTGACCTCAGCCTCGCTCCTCAGAGTTCTCAGGCAGAAAGGCCTACATACACTTTGCCAGAGAGTCAAGGAAGAGAGGAGGAAGACATAGGAAACATCCCTGAGAACTGAGCATTGCCTTTGTGACTAAGGGACACTTGGAACCTCTGGCACACTGCGGGCACGGAGGCCGCTGGAAGCAAGGAGGACATTCGTGTTTTGCTTGAGTAAACACGCGGGTGTCAGTGGAACTGGTTGTTAGACGAAGAAGCACGATCCCAGCTGGGGTGCAGGAAACCAGACAACATCCACAAGCCCAGGCGGAGGCAGGCCCCCGGGCAGGGCTGCAGGCCTCCATGCAGAGGGCCCGCGTGTAAGGCCGTGGCTTTGTCAGAGTCACTACTTCATGGCTCATGTCGTTGGCTCATCCAGGACTCACACTGGAAGACACCCCCAACCCTGCCTCCCCCCCGGACTGGTTCCTGTCTTAGCCCTACATGACTATGGTGGAGGAGAGAGTTCCTCCTCACAGGTTATTAATTTGGGTTCTTGCTCCATCAATGAGTCTTCTTCTCTTTAAACGTGTGCTAACATTGGTTAACATGTGTCAGGTGTACACCATTATAACTTAGTATCTGTGATACTATAGTGTGCTCACCACTAATGTCTAGTTTCCATGCATCACCATGCATTTCGGGGTTTCTCCTCCCAGCCAAGCATGTGCATCCCCACAGGGCCTGTGGACTCCCCTGCTCCCTGGAGACTGGCCTTGTTTCATGGCCTTATTCTCTTATCTCGTGTCCATCAACTATCCAGTGTCCAGTGATGGGCAGCTCTGAGGAGGTGCGTGTGGGCAGGTGCGTGTCAATAGCCTGAGTTGTCACCCGTCAAAGGTGCCCTGAAAAATCCCACAGCGATCCCATGGATAGAGAGGAAACAGCCCGGTTCTACACCTTACCTCCGGCCAGTGTTCACAAATGAACAAGCATTAAGCTCTGACCCTAAGAAGCCACACTTCGGGACAATTAATTAATGTTAAGCAACAATGGGCCTATTGTACTGTTTGACTACTAAAGACTTTCAAACGATTTAAATGGGACTCCGTTATAAAATGTTAGGACCTCAGATATCGGGTTAGAAGAGGCCTTATGCAGTGGAGCGCCCTCCTCGCCCACAGCCCCCGGAGGCCGGGCAGGTTCGGCGATGTCCGCAGGCCCCGCCGGTTAGGAAGAGTGCTCGAGCCAGGGACCCTCACCTCCACCCGCCCACAGCCAGCCCGCCTGCCCGGGACCTGCCTTTGATCCGCGCATTTGACTTCTGATTGCAGGAGCGTTTGAATCCACAGAGTTTTAATGCTATGAATTTTAACTCTTATTCTGATTTCTGAATGCACGGGAGATTTCTGTGCTCAGACCCATAGCTTGGTCTCTGTTCTCTCCATCTCTTTCCCTCCTGCCCCCGCACTGCCCACGGCTCCCCCAAGTGAAGAACATTCTTGGTCCATCTCTGGATCCTTGTCCCTCGGTGTTGAGAGCCCAAGTGAATCCTTGAACTCAGATTCCTGCTTTTTAAAGCACAACCCATAAAGAAAGCCATAAAGAATAATTATGTTGGATACATATATATCTATGTCTGTGTGCATATATAAATTATATGTATATGAAGATAAAATATCAAAAGGAGGAAACCTCCTTAAAATGGCCCAAACTCTTTAAGGCACCTCTGCCCTTGAGGCACGGAGTCCTATAAATTGGACCTTTATGAGTGGGACAGCAGGCCTGGGCTCTGCATGCCGCCCCTGCCCCCTCGGGGAGGTGCAAACTCCTCGGGGCCTGCTGAGAAGTCTGCTGTGGCATTCTCAGAAGGATGGAAACACGGTTTTACAATCTCCTGCTATTACCTCTTAAACACAGATCATTGTCTCCAGGTTTCAACACCATCGTTTGTGCTCCCGACTCAAGCACATGCTGAGCTCCTTCCTTGGAGCTGGTAGTAATGTCTCGCTCACCTGTGTGTAGTCTTCGGACACCAGGATAAATCCATTATTGTCTATGAGGTAACAGTTCACGGTCTAGAAAATAAAAAGACCACAGTTTCAACTTGGTATCCTCAGACTGCGATGACACAAAATGACATCCTTCCTTCGTGAGAGAAGCTCTCAGGTTGTTGTGGGAGGAGTGGAAATACCTGCTAGCGCTGGGGGGTAGGTCATGCTTTGCAAAACACACACCCAGAAATAAAACCCCAAGCGAGCCTGACCATCTCCGATCACGATACAAAGAATACACGTTAAAAAATGTATTCGTTCCAGTGTGTCTTCCTTCCTGTGAATAATGTGTCCCAGGAACAATGTATTCAGAGGCTCCGGTCCCGTTCACAGTGGTTGAAGTGCATGCTGGTTCGAAAGCAAAACCCCAGCACAATGTCATTACTCTAATGATGTATTAATGAAAACACCGTGTCAGCTCAGAAGACCATCAGGGGACCAGGTAATATTTTTTAATTTGTTCATGGACTTAGGCAGGGGGAGAAGGGGCAGACTTCTGTTAAAGGGGCCCCTCAGGCCTCCTAAAGGTTTTCAAACTGTGTCTTTAATTGGGAGCTGGGTTTGGGGGCAGGCTGTTAGCTTTTGGTAGCTCAGACTTATAAATTGTGGAAAGCAAGGTAAACCCAAGCCTCTGCTTCCCCCATACTACTTTAATCTCAAGTGAATGATTTGCTACAGGCTAAGTTTTAATTACAGTGCTGTGGAGTTTAAACTTAAGGTTTAATTCCGTCCTTGATGTAACTCAGTTTCTATTTATTGCAGCTTTACATACCAACTGCAACATTTAATTTGTAACATATCTTTACCCTGAGCTAAATTCCCCCTAGCTGCAGGCCACCGCAGGGCTGGTGTTTTCGGGGACATTCACCTATCCATGGAGTTGGTTTTAATCAGACACAAAGGTACAGCGCTGAGCTGGCCAGAAAGATTCATCCTTTATTCATGGCAGTGGTGGAAAATTAGTGGAAAGCGAAACCCCATGCAGCACCATCTGGGAGAGTTGGCGGCTTGGGTGAGCAGCGGGGTTTCTGTCCGTTATCCCAGAGGCCAGATGAATGGCGTGGGGAACCCGCTCACACTCCTGCTATTTGAAGAAGCTCTTAGCTGCATGGATAGTACTTTGGCCCTGGTGGGAATCTTCACCACCTTGCTCCATTTTTGGGAGACATTGGGGAAGCAGCCTCATATAGTTGTGCTGTCCGGCTACATGCGGAATTAAATTTAAGTTAATTAAATAAAATGAACAATCTAGTTCCTCAGTTGCACTCATCACATTTCAAGTGTCCACGCTAGCTGTGGCTAACAAGTCTACTTTTGGATATTTCCGTCAGTGTAGAAAGTTTTTTCAGAGAGCAATGTTTTTTAGATTATACTGGTACTCCAATGAGTTTTAATCCACTTTCCAGGTGGTCATCTTAGATAAGTACATGTCCTTGTTTATTTGAATATCAAGGTCTCATTTTGCAGGTCTACACAACGAAGCAAAGGAGGATAAACTCCACTCCATCACTAAATACATACTGAGTACAGGAGTGCTCTCCATACTCAGATATTGACTCTCCAAACCCTTCCAGGTACATACAGACTCAAAAGTCATCACCAACCACCACCCATACCTCACCGTAAAACTAGTTCCCAAATATCCCTCACCAATTAGTACCCTTGCTATTAGACCATATCTTTGGTCGGCATCTCTCTGTTTGTCTAATGTTGGAAATATTGGACCATGCGAGGCATGTACAAGGCCAGGAGATTATAAAGTCAATTGAAAATCTTGAGAAAGAGCCAAGGCTCTGTGAAGTCCATGGAAGTGCTGCTGGAGACCAGCTCCGACCCCAGCGGAAGCCACTGCCCGATGACATCTGTCAGGGGTAGCACACAAAGAAAGAAAAAGTCACCGCAGATAATACGAAAGATGCTTCCAAAGAGAGTGATCCCCAAAGCAAGGGACAAAGAGCATCTCCTGGGAAAACTGATCAAACTCTACTGCCTTTGAGCCCTCTTGTGATCATTTTCGGAAACTCAAATGTAGAGTGAAAGATTCTATGTTGTGGTATTTTATAACTTTATCAGAAACGTTATCAGTTTCTGATAACAAGATGGTTTGAACTATACCAGTACACCTATATGTGTTGGTTTTTTTTCTTCAATGAATATTATAAATGCATTTTTGTCATGCCTTTTCTACTTTTTCTTTTGTCTAGCTTACTTTATACTAAGAAAACCTTATATAATACATAGAACACACACAACGTGTGCTCATCGACGTTTGTGTTATAGGCCAGGCTTCTGGCCCACAGTTAGTAGTTAAGCTGTGGAGGAGACAGACGTTATTCAGGGGTTTTTGACTGTTCAGAGGGTGGTGCTCCTAACCCCTGCGTTGTCCAAGGGTCAACGGTACCCCCTACACCCAAACGCCACTGCATTTACTTTTGGTTTGGAGAATTAGGGTACAACCACAATCAGAACCGAAATGTGTTAAATACAATCAATGTGTGTTCCCAGCTTCCATTGCTCTAGAGACGAAGCTTTAACGAAACGGTTCACGATTTGCCGAGTCTTTGGTTTTTGTAAGAGAGGACCTCGGTGCTCCCTGCTCCGGCCAGCAGTGGGCGGGCTGACGTGGGACCGCCCTAGGGAGACCCACTTCTCGGTGTGAAGGAGCAGAGGACGGAAGGCGCCGGCACGAGACAGGGATGTTTCAACTCAGAACTTGGAAAACCCAGCTGTAGAAGTAGAAAGAGGGCACCAGCAGAAGACTGTCACTCAAAGAAGTTTTCCATGAAACATGTGGTCCTCTCAAATGATAATAATAATATCACTTAATAGACTAAATAATATAATGATAAGAAGAAGAGCAGGATGATGGCAGCTACAGGACAGCTGATACAATCCTTGCTTGTCACACTGGAAGAGAAACAGGCCCAGAGATGTCACCTTCCCCAAGGTCACACAGTGAAGCAAGTAGGACATGAATCCATCAGCCCACTGCTTCCCCGGGCTGACCCTCTACCTTTCCAGAGAGCGGGACATAGTTGTTGCCTGCTCACGGAAGGCTTTCCTGGTGTGGAAAAAGCAATCCCTTAACACACACATAGCTAAGGACAGACCTCCCCTGTCACGTCACCAGCGGAAACATGACAGGTAGTAGGAAAACCAGTCAGACCAGTCAAGACACCAAATGCCTAGTGTGTTGTTATTATTATTCTGGCTGAAAACAACAAAAGTGACTAGTGTTTGGGGCCACTTTATAAAATGGTATTGACCCCACCTATAGGTCCCAGGATTCTAAACACACTTTTCACGTTAATATCTGAAAACATGAGACACAGTCCAAACACTGAGGGGAATTGTCTGTACGTTCCCATCACTTGCTAAGAAATAATCTATGAAAGAAAAATAGCCCATTATAGGTGAGAGTCTAAAAACATGCTTGATGATCCACTCACTTTGGTCAGATTGGTCTCCACCCTACCAGCTGGTGATGGGAGGAGGCGAAGGAGGAGTCCGGTGAGGGCTCCCGGAGGGGGGGATGCCTACGCCTCCACCTGCTCCACAGAAGCTCTCGTTTTGCTCCAGCCCAGGGAGCACACAGTCCCGGGTATGGGCTGGGGAGCTGCATTTGCTCCGTCTAGACTGAGGGCCAATGGGCGCTGACTCCTCGGGCCGCGCCTCCTTTAACATTATTTTTCTATTCACGTTCCCCTCCTTAAATAAGATTCTCTGATGGCACTGGTAGAAAAGATGCCATGCTGTACTCGTTTATCAGTAAGTTTGAGTTTCGAGGTTACACAGATTACTATCAGGCTTGGCCACACTATTAAGCAAGAAATAGATGCTGCCAGTGTTGCGATTTACAGCTCACTGAGAAAATCACAGTCAAAGGCAGGGATGCTGTGTCAGAGATGGAACCTGGGGTCACCGACTCGGAGAGGTGCTATTAAGTTTCCGTAGTCCATAGTTTCACGTTAGGTAAATTTGGTCACCACGATGACTTCCTGCACAGACCTCCCTGCCAACAACCACATGGACTAAATTAGGGTTAGGAAGCGCGGTGAGTGAAATGAGCTCACTGGAGTTAGGGGAGCAGGAGCTGCATATGGAGTAGTCAGCCCAGCATCAGCCAGATTCCAGTCTGACCGACTGTTTCGTCTCTGTCTCTTCACAATAAATAGTATCCAAGTGGCTTTTCCATACCCCTCTCCAGTGCAAGGAAACAGGAGGTATTTTCCCAGCCTTCCCTCACGAGGCTACTTCCCTCCCAAACCTCGTGGCAGGTGTCTGCCCGTCACCCTGTCCAAGCTGAAATTGGAGAAGTTAGGAGCTAAGTTCCCACAGAGACTGTGAGCACCTATTCCACAGTCTCTCTGACAAAATATCTAGACATGAGGTTGTTTGGACAATGCAAAGATACAGAGGGGGAGAGAGGCAGAGAGAAGCAGGGGTTTTTTGTTGTTTTTAAAGCCATCTTTCTTTAGTTATTTGAAAACTCGATATTGCTCAGAGAAGTCCAGTTCCGGGGCACAACAGGCAGGACCTGAGGCTAAAGCCAGAACCGGGCGTGTTCATGAGGCCATCACAGAAGCAAGGGAAGCTTCTGAGGACGGGGCTGGACACTGAGCACAGCTGTGTTAACAGGGAGACGACAAAAGCCCCAGGAGGCTCGGTACCGGCTTGAGAATCAGAGACTCTGACATTTGCCCTCAGGGTGACCTCGAGCAGCCTGTTAGCACTCTGAGTCTCCGTTTCCTATCTGATAGATGGAGAGAGCAACACCTTTTCCACGGGGTTGTTGAGAAGACTCCGTGGAGCGCGGGAGTCAAGTGCTGAGCGCGTGCGTGCAGAGTGCACAGGAGGAGCTCAGAGACCTGCGCTCGCGTTCGCTCAGCAGTGTGTTCGGGTGTCAAGTGCTGAGCGCGTGCGTGCAGAGTGCACAGGAGGTGCTCAGAGACCTGCGCTCGCGTTCGCTCAGCAGTGTGTTCGGGTGTCAAGTGCTGAGCGCGTGCGTGCAGAGTGGACAGGAGAAGCTCAGAGACCTGCGCTCGCGTTCGCTCAGCAGTGTGTTCGGGAGTCAAGTGCTGAGCGCGTGCGTGCAGAGTGGACAGGAGGTGCTCAGAGACCTGCGCTCGCGTTCGCTCAGCAGTGTGTTTGCTGGTGCTCACTGGCCACCTGCTGCGTGCGGTCAGGAACCCAGACGTTACACGTTCGAGGTTCTCAGAAACAGAAGTTGTTACACAGTTCGTAGCAAGAGTTTGTGGAGGCAGGTTGTTGCTTTGTGTTCTGCCTTTTGTTTGGGGGGGATGACTTCCGTTTGTTTTGATTGGTGCAGGCCGAGTGGTGAGGCTTAGAAGCCCAGTACTGTCTGCTGCTGTTTTCATTTGTGAGGAGAGAAAGAGGAGAGGGGAAGAGGAGAGAGAAGAGAGGAGGGAAAAGGGAAAAGAGAGAGGGCTGGGCTCTCACAGCTAAGGGTGGGGCCTGAGTCCGCATCTCAGGCCCATAAGGTAACACCTCTCACTACCTTTTCTCCAGCTCTCACAATCTGACCCCCGACCTTTCGAGTGTGGAACAGATGTACCTTTTCATCGCAGGTCACCTATCATGTCAAAGTACTGTCTTTTTAAAATAATTTTTAAAAAATTTTTAAATTACAGTTGACATACAATGTTACATTCGTTTCGGGTATGCATTAGTGGTTAGACATTTATATAACATATGAAGTGATCACCCCGGTAAGTCGAGTGCGTACCTGACACCATGCAGTTATTACAGTATTATAGACGACAGTCCCTACGCTGTACTTCACATTCCTGCGACTCCTCTGTAACCACCCATTTGTACTTCTTAATCCCTTCACCTCTTCCACCTGGCCCACCAACCCCCATCCCATCTGGCAACCAAAAATTAGTTCTCTGTCTCCGTGAGTTTGTTTCCATTCTGGTTGTTCAGTTATTAAAGTACAGCCTTTGGAAACATGACTGCGAAGGGGTGGCCTGGAGCAGAGGCGCCTGGGAGTCCCCGGGGCCCCGCCTCCGCGGCCACTCCACTGGCTGGGCTGCAGGGGCCAAACCTGGCCACTTGCTTTAGCTCTTACCCCCGCTGGTCGTGCTCAAGGAGGTCTTTCAAATTCCAGGGGAAATGTCTAAAAGGCCTTACAGAGTCTAAGTAAGACCATTGGGTCTGTTCCTTTACACAAGAGAGGGTGGCAGCTGGTGTTGTATGTGACATTTTGAACCCTCACAGCTCCACAGATCCCCAGTAGGAGAGGAACTGCTCTCCTCCTCTGTGTGGGAAGGACGGCCCCTCATCAGGAGGTGTGGAAAGGTGAATGGGAGAAGGAACGAGAGGGTGAGGAGACGGTTCCCACGGGTGAGGCACACCCGAGGCGGGCGTGGCTCTCCTTCTCCAGTCCTGAATGCCAACCTTGCTTCCCCACCTCAGCACCCTGCCCGGGGTGATCTGCCCGGGAGGGCTTCTCATGCTCTGAGCGTTGTCTTCCACGTCTTCTTCTTCTTCATCTTCAGTTGACTTACTGCTACTCCTCAGAGAAGCCTTCCCTGACCACCCCACGTCAGTTTAATGCACAGCACTGATCACAGCTGGTAACCACACATGCTGTCTCCTGGCTAAGCACTGAGTTCCAGGGGCAAGGAGCCGTTACTGACTCTGCTTTCCATTGACTCCCAAAGGTGAAGAGGTACCAGGCACATGAGACGGGCTCAGTAACCCTGTCTCGGAGGAATGCGTGAGTGTGTGAAGTCAACATCGCCCCAGGCCACGGAGCTCCTTAGAAGTCAGGCCCAGAGGCAGCCCCCCCAAGGCCCACGGCTCTGGCACTGCCCGGACCAACCAAAGATGTCTTTCTACAGGATGGGACGACATCTGGCCATCCTGACTCCCCCCACCAGCCAGGGCAGTCACCGAAGGCCCGTGGAGTCCCTGATGGTGAGCAGAGGGGCAGGAGTGGGTCCAAGGCAAAGCGTGGCTGATACGTCGGAGGCAGTCGGGCCAGGTCTTCAGTGAAGAGAAGCAGCCATGAGTATGTGAACCCCCTCAGCTGTTTTTAACAGGACCTGACACTTGAGGGCAGTTGGGAGAGAAGAGGAACATGGTCTCGAAGGCGTAATGAAAAGTTATGAGAGGAGAAGGACCTGGAGACAGCCGAAGGGTTGGGCCAGGCCTCAGCGGGAAGGAGGGCTGGCTTTTCCATTTGAAACTATGCCGATTGGTTGGCTGAAGCCAAAACTTAGAGTCAAATGGGAAATGGGTGACAGTTTCAAAATGCTAAATGAGGACATTTGAGCATCAGGACAAGTTCAGAAATCTGTGCAGATTCAATGCTTAATTTTCAAACCATGTGAACCTTCACATGACATTTGAACGGGGGTTTATCCCAATGGTTGCTAAAGATGATTGTTGGTGAGGAAAACACCGTACCTTGTGCTTACTGTGCCCAGAGAGGCAGTCGGTCGCCGACAGCCCACATGCCAGCGTGTCTGAGGCTTTAGAGTCAGGTAGCCATTGCTGGTTCACAGTTAACATGTATTGAGTGCTTAGCATTGGCCAGGAGCTGTGCCAGGCATTTTTCATATATCAACTCATTCATTCCTCACCATTACCCTTTGAGGTGGATATTTCTGTACCCACTGAGGCCCAGAGGGTCAAAGACATGCCTGAGGTCTCATGGCTCAGTACTGTCAGAGTCACAGCTGGAAACTCCCCTCACTCCACAGACTGTGCCCTTCACCGCCACCGCCTCGCTGTGCCATCTGTGAAACCAGTCACTGGACAACAAACATACGTTGGATGTTTCTAAGTGGGACTCCATCTCCACTTTAAAACACATGCTATTTTAATTGTGAATTTGATGACTATTCTAGTTGTCGTTTCCACTTGTTTTTATACATGAGGCAGCACAGAGGCAGAGTGGATTGTAGGAAAACCACTGCCTTTGGTTTACCAATCAGATTGTTTAACCAACTATCCATCTACCATCCAAACAACCATCTAGTAATCAACCAATCAACCAACCAACAAGCAACCTACCCAATGAGCCAACCAACCAATCAACCAACCAACAAGCAACCCACCCAATGAGCCAACCAACCAAACAACTAGGCAAACTGCTGTCCATCCCACCAGACAACTAATCATCCCTACAGTCACCCAACTAACCAACCAACCAACAATTATCCTCAGTTTTCTTACAGCAAATTAAAAATAATAATTGTACCCACAGAACAAGTAAACAGTTTAATGAATATTATTATTGAGTTTCGCTGGTTTGAGCTGAGCACTCCAATATGTCAATAAATGTCTCAAAGAAGAGGAGAGGTCAGAGGCCACTTGCCTATCCCAGGAGTGGCAGTCCCAAACGTACTGAAACGTTATAGGATGCTCTTTGCTATGGGGAAATTATTATTTTTTTGACAGAAAGAGTTGAGCTTCTTCTGAAAGCTGACCGTTTGGCTTTCACTCTTTGGATAGCGATTTACACATGATTACGATTTTTCTTTTCTTTAAAGCGGCTGCCAGATCTCTGGGACTCAGCATTGTTTGCGTTAACTTCCTCCCTGTTGCATTTCTCCACTTGTTTTTCCTGTGCCTACTTTTTTGAAATATACTCCTAATCTATGTTTTCTGTTTGAAATTATGTTTGGCTGGGATTTCTTTCATCCCTGTGCTAACCAGAAGGAACATAAATATATGATTATTTATAAGCTCCCGTGCACGTATTGACTAGCATTTGGCTAACACCAGAGGGCGAGGCCAGCACGCATCTGCCAGGTCTTCAGCGGGGGCAGAGGCTGCGGGGCTGGACGCTGCGAAAACAGACGTGCGACAGACAGATTATGGCAGTGCTGCATTTTTTTCTTCTATTGCTCATGTGTGGGATTTAAATAATTCCAGAGAGAGAGAGAGGGAGAGAAGGAAGGGGGGATTGTAGGAAGGAATCACTATGCTAGAATGAAAAATTTTCAATTCTCAACTCAAAGGTTTTCAGCTTGTTTCATACATGAAACGGAGCAAATCATTTAATTTCTCTGCTCCTCAGTTTCCCTCTCTGCAAAGGAGGATAGCCATTCCTACCCTTTCACTGGGTTGTGGTGAGGCTAAAAAGAGATTGGCTCGTGGGGAAGAAGGTTTGAGAATTGCAACGTGAGCGTCAAACGGCACTTCTTCCGATAAATTGCCCGCGTTCCAGTGGTGCCGCCCATGGACATTGGAAGCGCATTGCCCTCGCTCTCATAAATGATCGATTGGGGAAGAAAGGGAACAAAGGAACAGAGCAAGCAGCCCTGGGGCTTTGGGGAGGCTGGTTCAGATCAGCGTGTCAGCTTTGGCTCTGTTTTAGTGGCATTCCCTCTGAGAAGGTACCCTCTACCCCCCCCCCCCGCCCCCCCAGACCAGGGCCGAAGCCGGGCGGGAGGGTCTCCTACCTCGTCGTCACAGCTGATGGAGCATTTGCCGTCCAGAGCGGCGCACTGTGGGCAGAGAAGCAAGGGTGTTACTCGCCGTCCAGGCTCTGCGGTGCCTGCTACTTTGTCACTCAAGGACAAGCCACCAAAGTCCTTGCCTGTTACACAAGTTCCAAATTTCACCTAAACCTGAATGTTCGAGTATGCCTGCCCTCCCTCGGCTCCATACCAACTCCATGGAGCCATACAGAAGAGAATTCGGGGTGGAGGCTGGCTCTTTTTCATTTTAATTTATGCGATCTGTTTTAAGTTATGTCGGTATTCAATAGTGATATATTTTTAAGAACTCAAAAATCTGTGAGTAACAAGAAATATAATCATGTAATTGCCTATTTTTAAATTAATTGATTGCCAGCAACTTAAAAACAAACAGCTCCTGTGTATAGTTTCCTCGAATATCTTCATTTAAGAAATGATCTATTCTAACATTTAGAATGGAGGCAACTCAGGTGTTGCCATTTCTTCTGGATTACTGAACAAATGCCACTGACGTTAGCACAGAAAGCACAGGATGAGCAAAGATGCTCCCAGATTCTCCGAGGCAGAGAAGCCCTCTGAGCCATGAGGGTAGATGAGCCACAACTAGTTATGCAAAGGCCTATAAGATGCAATCAGGAGATTCACAGATAAATAATCAGACATGACACAAAAGTCCCCAATATTAAAAAATATATATATGTGTCCTTTGGAAGATCACTATCTTGATCTCATGATTAAAAAATATTTACAGGAGTGGCCCGGCTGGTGTGGCTCAGTGGCTGAGTATCGACCTATGTACTAAGAGGTCACTGGTTCGATTCCCAGTCAGGGCACATGCCCAGGTTGTGGGCCTGATATCCAGTGGGGAGCATGCAGGAGGCGGCCAATTGATGTTCTCTCTCATCGATGTTTCTCTCTCTCTCTCCCTCTACCTTCCTCTCTCTCTAAAATCAATAAAGAAAAAAATTTTTAATAAAATAAAAATGTTTATAGGAGCAACATGCAGTGTCTTCCCTGCTGACAGTCCTCATTCTGCAGTGAAATGAAAGGTGGCCTGCGCAGCTGGCAGCTCATTTACAAACAGTCATCAGACATCTGGCACTTGCGGGCACAGGGTACCCGATGCGAACACCGTGTGCTGATTCTCACGTACCTGTCTGCTGGCGGTCCAGAACTTCCTCTGGAAGAATTCGAGTTTCATCTGAATGCCTACAGCTGGGAGAAATTATAAATAAAACAAAGCATTAGCGATCCCGTTCCACGATTTCTTAGCGTTATCATCGAAAAGTATCCGTCATGGTGAGAAGCTGACACAAGCATACCAGATGAGAACAAGGGAGAACGAAGCTGACAGTGACGACACAGTGATCTAGCCTCTCTGTCCAGAGGGGATTCTCAAGGTCCCCGCCCTGGCAGAAGTCTTGATAAGAGCAAACTAGCCCACTGCAGATGGTTCTGTAGAGACGTTTACTTGAGTATTTCTAAAATTCATACACTTATGGTTACCCCCTTTCCCAACACAGGCTAAAAACAGAAATCAAAAACAAAAAAACCCTGATATTCAGAAGATCACTGTCTCTTCAGAGCTCCGGTTTTAGGAACTTGCATTTCTGACACGTGTGCTATAATGTGTCAGTGAGAGATGCTATAATGTGTCAGTGAGAGATGCAATAGGAAAAGCACTTGTCATGAGACTGGTCTTTGTAAGTGAGTCCCTTTGCTAGAGACTGAGTTTAACGCCCGGCATTCACATTTCAGGGATCTCTTCTCCCAGGGAACTCTGCGGGAAGCACCCTAAAGTGACAGCGAAGGGTCGTCCTAGGGAGAGAAGCAGAAAGGGAAGAAGTAGAGAAAGCGACATGAAACTTTGGGACGTGGAATGGGGCAGAGCCTCGGAGCTGTGACAGGAACAAGCTCACAGTATTTCTCCCCACGAAGCCAAGGCCGAGTGACTATAGAAACCATTCCAGGAAGAGGTCCAGCCAGGGCAGACATCTCTCCGGGTGATGAGGAAGTTTTGGGGGAGTCTGAGAAGGAAGAACGAGTCTCCGTGGGAAATGCTGGACACGCTGCAGGACACCATCTACTCCAGGGCAGTTCTGCAGACTTCAGCCCACCGCACACAGCCTCCCCGATGCTTACCATGTCTACAAACCCCCGGCACTGCTGTTTATCTTTCCATGCTTTTTTCTTTTATTTAAATACCGAAAGTACCCTCAACCTAAGTGATAATATATATCAAAAGAAATGCTCAATTACAAAAAAAAAAGTTCACTCGCTCCTCCTAAAATCTCGCAGGCCCCCACAGTAGAAGCCCCACTTGGGTAACCGTTGCTCTGTTGGCTACAGGAAATTGAAGGTTCAGGAAGGTCTTGATCTGTTACCCTTATAACTATCAAGTGCATTCCTATTTTCTAAGTTTCTTTTTTTCTTTATTGATTTTAGAGAGAGAGGAAGGGAGAGGGAGCGAGAGATAGAAACATCGATGAGAGAGAACATCAACTGAACACCCCCTGCCTGCCCCCCACTGGTGATTTGGCCCACAACCTGGGCATGCGCCCTGACCAGGAATTGAACCAGCAACCTCTTGGTGCACAGCTCAACACTCAACCACTGAGCCACACCGGCCGGGCTGCATTCCTACCTTCTAGACATTGTGGAAGGAAGCTCTGAGAGTCAAGGTTGGCCGGTGTGTGCCCTTGAGAGACTCATCCTCTGTATTTGCACTTAGAATGTCAGGCTCTAGGACACAACTAGACAGCGCTACGCATGGCCGCAGCGTGCAGAGTGAAAGTCTGACCTGAGTCATTTCGGTTCTCGGCTCCGTCCTGCCTTGCCCTAGGTGCTGTGTGTCCTCCGGACCAGAAACTCCCCAAGGACATGGACCTGTTCTCGCTCCCTAGTGGACCCCTGCCCCTGGCAGGTGCCAAGCACACAGAGGCTCCCTTGGTAAACGCCTGCTTTCTAAAAACCCTTTCAGGCGATATTCCAGTCAGTAGTTAGCGGTAAAGATGGAGGAGGCACTTTATATGAATGATAATTACACCCAAGTGAAGGTTTTTCAGTGGCGCCTCTCAGCACATCGGAACAACCTGGAGATCTGGAAGCGGAATGGCAGACGCCTGTGTGCCTGCCCCCACCCAGACCAGTGAAATCAGAATTTCCTGGAGCGGCACTCAGGCATGGGTTGCTTAAGAGTTCCCCTGGTATCCAATGTGCCCCCAGAGTCCAGCCGGCCCCTCCCAGGCCTCAGCGAGCGGCTCTCCAGGGCCTACCGTGACGTCACACACACCAGCGCTCTTCCAGCTGTGGAGGAACATGGGAGAGGACCCCACGGCAGCGGGTCCAGGGGCCCAGGGCTGTTGAAGGCAGTGTCAGTAGATCTATCTTCCAAAGTGCCTGACAGGCCTTATCCCCGTGGGGATGAGCCAACCCGGGAAGCAGGGAAGTAGGGTACAGGGCCTTGCTATAGGCAGAGGGGAGAGCCGGCCCTGTGCTCTCAAGATGGGGTTTGGAATGAGTATCTGGGGTTCCACCAAAGACAGGGAGAGCAGAGGCAAACTGGGTTCCAAGCAGAGGGCCTCCACATTGTCCTGCCGTCCACTCACTAGTGTCTGAGAGGAGGTGTGTCCTTCCTCCGCGCCTCTCCCTGCAGCTCCCGCCGCTCCTCCCTCCAGCCGCCCTGCCCAGGCTGGCAGCCAGCAACCTCTGAGGCCACCTCCCAGGGCCAAGGTCAGCACCAGGGCAGGCTGGGAGACTACGGGATAAAAGCGGAGGGTTCTCTGAAAGCGCCACCCCGTGGAGTTTCCAGCTCCGGCAGCCTCGAGCCGCCGCTGGCCCACCCACCAGCTGTTCCTGGTCCGCGACCCCTGCCCCCTCCGAGTGCTGCTCCCTCCGCGAGCCCTGCTTTCACCGCCCTCATGAGGCCAGCCGCTCCCTCCTGGGTGTTTATCCCTCATGCTTGCAGCCTGCTATCATCTGCCTCTTGCAGTCTGCACCCCAGCTCCTCTGCTTTCATCTTTCCCCGTGAGTCAGTCCCTCCGTCCCATTAATCACGCGGGGGCTCTCTGATCTCGCTCCAGCAGGCTGCATCCTCTGCCTGGTCCCGGTGCCCTGAGCGAGACACCGCTGCCCTCGCCCTCACCACCGCCTTGTCTGGGCCCGCGTCCCCCAGGCAGTCCTGAGGGCGACGGTCCTCGGCGCTCTGACCTGGCTCTTTCTGCTTCCAGACCCTCCTACAGCCCCAGCGACTCTGGCCCCTGGCTCCCAGCAGCGTGTCTGGGTTGGTAGTACTCTCACCTACAAGTCAATATTCTTCTCTAGGGTGGAGAGACCCACAAATTCATGACCATATGTTCAGTGGCCTTTCTCCAAGCCGAGCCTCAAGCTGTGTACTAAGGGGGTGACGGCCCAGGCTCCCGCAGCGTCTCGTGGGGAGCAGCCACGTGGTAAAGGGACATCGGAGGCACAGAAACAGCACTGTGGAGCAGAGGGGGGTGGCCTTGACCTTGGGGAATGGGTAAGGCTAGGGCATCCAAGCCATAAGAAAAGAACAGAGAAAAGATGGTAATTCAAGTGCAGAAACAGTACAGGCAAAAGGACAACACCTTTTGAAAGACTCTGTCTTCTCAGGTTTAAAACAGTTGCCCAGCCGGTGTGGCTCAGTGACCTGAGTGTCATCCCAGGGACTGAGAGGTCCCGGTTCAGTTCTCAGTCAGGCACGCGCCCAGGTTGTGGGCTCGATCCCCAGTTAGGGCGTGTGCAGGAGGCAGCCGATCAATGTTTCTCTCTTACATCAATGTTTCTTTCTCTCCCTTCCTCTCTCTCTAAAACAGCAATAAAAACATATTAAAAAATAAATACATAAAGTAAAAGAATGGGAGTGGGGAGCATGATTGTATGCTGAGGTCAGACGGCAAGAGGTTTTTGTTTTTTTTCTTATCCTCACTCGAGGACATTTTTTGTTCAGATAGAGTTGGAGGGAGAGAGAGGAAGAGAGAGAGAGAGAGAACATCGACATGAAAGGGACACATCGAGTGGCTTCCACCCGCACGACCAACTAGTGCCCAGGGCCGGGAACAAACTGCAACCGAGGTACGTGCCCTTAGCAGGAACCGAACCTGGGTCTCTCTGGACCACAGGACGACGCTCTAACCGCTGAGCCAAACCGGCCAGGGCATGATGGCAAGAGGTTTTGAATGTCAGACCTGAAGAGTATCCTGGAAGCCAGGGTTGGCTCAAGGCCGATCCAGGTTCCGCAAGCTCGCCGGCTGGAGCGCTGTCCACGGCAAAGCTGAGCCGGGCAGCTGCCGCGGAGACCGAAGGGCGCACCAAGCCTGACACGGCCACTGTCTGGCCCTTTGCAGAACACGTGTGCGGACTCCTGCTTTGGGTCCGAGGAGCCAGGTACTGTCTTTAGGTAGAGACGGGCAGGACCTCAGGTCTATATCTCAGAAAGTCCAAGATGAAAGTCTCCGAAAGGATGTACTAGAGACACGGCCCGGCCGGTGGGAGCCCAGGGGAGTGAGGTGAGTTTTCGGCAGCCGCAGCCACTTGGGGTGTTTGGTTAATTATCTCAGCATGAAAATGATGTCAAGTGAAATAATAAAATAAAAAATAACACCAAAAAGCCAGAATAAACCCTCTACCCCAAACAAACAAAAATGCTTAAGAACATCCTGGCCAGCTCTAGTCCAAAAAAATAAATATGAGCTTCAATAAACAGACATTTATCTTCCTCTCACTGTTTTTCTTTGTTTTCTTCCCTATTTTTTTTTTTTCTTTTCTCAACTTTTATCAGGAAAAAAATCGTTATTTCAGCAAGTCCCCCCCCCCCCCATTCCAAATGGAGCCGGAGATACTGTCATGCCCGTCTATTTTGTTCTTTCAACAACATTTCAAGCCATAACAGTACATTCTGATTCAAGTCAATCTTGCTAATTTAATAAAGAAAACAAAGACAGAAAATGCTTTAGTGAAATCCAAGTCCCAAAGAGAACACAGGAAATAAAAACACCATCCCTGGGTTTGAAATTTTTTAGACAGTCCAGAAAATCATCAACATATTTCTCCTGGAGTTGGTGGTGCTCCTTGCTTCCATTTCATTAGGGAGGCTCCCAGGCTCCCTGCTGGGAACCTTCAAAGGGAGGACAGGGACAGTGTTCCATTTCCGTGACAGCATCTGGGGGTACCTCACTCACCGCCCAGAAGCAGAA